AGAAGTTGTTTAAGAAAAAGAATTTTGTTATTTTTAAAACTTGAAGTTGTTGAATTACTTGAGAGTGTGATAAAGTTGTAAATGTTGTTTAGTTGGTTAGTTTGTTTATGAGTTGACAGTTAAGTTAAATAGAAGTTGTTAAGAGATATATTGTTTTTATATAAGTGATAAAGTTGGAATATTATAATAAAATTAGTGGTTTTTCTGTAGTTTTTTAAAATTATATCTTGTGTTAGAAATGGTTTCCATATTTTGGAAAGCCATTTCTTAATTCAGTGTATAGTAATTTGGTTTAGAAGTTCATTAGTGTTAAAGCATCTTTCTATATTGCTGCTACTAATTTGTAGAATTAGTTTGTTTAGTGTAAAAATATTAAGTAATTGTAGATTTGTAAGTATATTATTGTTTGTATTTGTAGATAAGTGGAGCATGTGTTTGGTGCATTTTGTTAAGAGACTTGATAATTATTGAAGTTGGTTTTGTAAAAGAGAGTAGATTTAAAGTAAATATTCAATTGATAGTGAAAGAATAGTATTAAATAGTCAAGATATTTGTATAGGTTAGAGTTTTTTGTATTGAATCATATAGGTGAATTGAGAAACTTTGCTAATAATTTTTCCAAATGTAGGTTTAGTTAATCCTTTCTCTTCTAAAAAAATATCTAAATATCTAATTAAATCATTAAATTCGCAGGATATAATTGGTTAGCTATTAAAGTTTAGAGGATTTATATCTTGAATAGTGTTAAGTGATATTTTTCTGTTAGGTAAGATATAAATAAAATCTGATTTAGATAGATTAACTTGTATGTTATTTAGTTGATAAAGTTCAGATATGTCATCTAGAATATTTTGAAGATTATTTTTAGATTCACAATGCCATACTGTATCATCTATAAAGGCAAGAGGTAGTATTGTCATAGTAGATAGATTAGTTAGAAAGATTGTTTCTAATAAAGATTGTGATAAATTTTAAGGAGTTTTGAGTTGTATTTTGAGTTTATATAACTAAGAATAGAGTTATAGTAAATTTTTCAGAGTAGTGGAGAATAGGTTTCTTTTTGTTCTATGCTCAAGTATAGTGTGATTGGATCAGTTAGACCATAGGCAGTAATTGCACTGGCTTTTCTGTCTTAATAAAGAAATTTAATAAAATTTAAACTAGTCTGAGGAATGCCAATATGTTTACAGACATCTAGTAACTGTTGAATATTGATTTTGTCAAAGGCCTTGGACATGTTTTAGAAGAGTATCTATGCCTTTTTGTTATTAGTTTTGTAATATTTGATTGTATTTAGTAATATTTATATAGAAATATGAGTTGAGCTAACCTTAGTTGCTGCAAAGTTTAAGTTACTTAATAGGTGATGCTAAATAATAATTTAATCAAGACAGGTTGTGAATATTTTAGTAAGACATTTTTTATAGGTTTGATCAGGGAGATAGGTCTAACTTGGTCTAGAATGAAGTCCCATAAGGATTTTTTTAGAATTAGAAAAATGTTTGATGTTTTTCATAATATTGGGGTTTGTTGTAATATAAGGCATTTTAATAAAAAGAGTCAAATTATGTTTTGACCTTTGAAGTTTAGATGTTTTAGATGTTTATAATTGGTTTCAAGGAGACCAGCAGCTTTTTGGTTAGAGAGGTCATTTATAACTTTGTTCTACTCTTCTGGAGTAATTTCTGAGAAAAGATTAATAAAGTATTGTTCATTTTCTAGATATGGTTTGTAAAATACATAATATTTTGTATTTTCATAAATTGGTGAATATGATAGTTTTTGAAAAAAATCTTGAAAATAGGATTGTAAAGCTTTTTTTATTTCAGTTGATTGGGTAGTGAGTATATTATTAGAGAGAAGTCAATCCAAGTTTATATTATTATTTTGTTTTTCTAGAACATTTTAGGAGAATATTTTGGGATTTTGATAGAAGTTATTGTTTCTTTCTTCAAGTTTGTTTTGAATTTCTTTTATTGTATTTTCTTGCTTTTCTTTGAGGATTTACATTTTTAGCATTTTGATTTCAGTAATAAGGAGTGTTGAGAATAAAGTAGAAACAGAATTGTTATTAGTTGATGTTAAGTAGAAAGATGGTAGTGAAGTATTTTGTGAATATTTATTAATATATAAGTTATAAGTTTGTGAAAAGTTGTGTTTATTAAGAGTAGTTTTAAGAGAAATTGCTTGTTTGAATTGTTTATATAGTGGTATAAGAAAGGGTGGTTGTTGTTCATTTTAATAAGAATTGATTTGATTTTCTTGAATAGAATATGTTTTTAAGCTGCTCTGGTTAGAGCTTTGTTAATTTGATTCTATATATTGTTAAGTTCTGAGTTTTGAGTAATGTTAATAATAGATGTAAGAAGTGGTTAGAGGTTTTGTTTTAAATGAGATTAATAATTTTTTATTTGTTCATTTGTAATTAGTTTCTATTAATATTTAGTTCTTGTTTTGAGTAATTGCAGATTTATTTTAGATAAGTTAATTGTAAGTTTCAGTAATACTATTGAGTAGTCAGTTAGAGTGAATGGGTTAGATAGGATATCAGCATAATCTAGAAGTGTAATATGAATGTTAGTTCATATTTAATCAATTTTGCTGTAACTGTTGTTATGTGTAAATGTAAATGCTAAAGCTAAAGAAAAAAAGAGCCTATATGAGTCATAGAATTGAAGAGATTTAAAGAGTTTTAGAAGAGAGTGTTCTGATGTATTGGAGCTTTTTGGTAGTAGTCTGTTAAGTTTAGGATTAGAAACTCTGTTTAGATCTCATATAAGAACTATTTTGTAATTGGTTTAATTAAGGATAGGTGTAAGATATAAGAGGATATCTTTTTTGAGCTGTTTTTTCTCTTGAGTTGGAAAATATAGTTAAATAAGTTTGATATGAAGATTTTTAAAAAATAGGTCAATTTCTAAAATAAAGTTTTTATAAATTTGAATTTTTCCAATATGCTTAGCAAGAAAGTTGTGAATTAATATTTCTATACTATCTTAGTAGGTTGTTTGCAATTGTCTAAAAGACTATTAATATTTAGAGAGTGTATTTTGATTGATTTTGTGATATTTGGGTTTTCTGGTAATAAGAAATTGTTATTAGTATGTATTGTATTGAAAGGTAGATCTAGGTTGGAAGGTGGAGTTGGTAGAAGAGATTTTTGTAATTTAGAAGAGATGGTATTTTGAATTTTGTTAAAAAACAGTTTGTTTTAAGTAGAACATTTTGAAAGTCTAGAATTTTTGAAAAGAAATATAAGTAAAATTAGGTAAAAGATTGGTTTTTTGTAGAAGGTAAATATGGGCTTCTTCATAGATATTATTGTTAGATGTTTTAATAGAGATGTTGATATATTGCTTAGAATAGTATGTTGGATAGTCAGTTGGATATATTTTAAAAAGAAGCCTATTGATTGTGGTGTTAGTAAGAGTTGTAAATTGTAGAATGAGAGAAATTTATTAAAACATATTGAAGGATTATATATTTTAGATAGATCGAAGATTTGTGAATTGGTTTTTTCTTTAATAGTGTTTGTTGTTGATGAGTTAATGGTATTATTTAGATCTTTAGTTGGTGAGTTTGATCATTATTAGTAGTGTTTGAGTTTATTGGAGTATTATAAAGATGTTAGGTATATAAGATTTTTTTGAAAATAGATGAAAATATATTTTTAGTAAAAGGGTTCTCAGAAGGGTGTAATAAATTGTGATCTGAAAAGTTTGAATTATCTTCTATAGATGTGCTTGCTGTATACTTGATATTTACAGTTGCAGAAAATATCATAGACTGCTCTGTATATTGGATTTAACCATCATTAGCCTGGTCCTTCATGTAAATATGCTTTTCTGCCTACTTACTTATATTATTCTTTTCCAAAAATAGTATATTTTTAGTGAAGAATATCATTATTTTTAGAGTAGCAGCTGTATTAATGTTATTTATAAAAGGAATTATTGAAAAAGTGAACTATATGTAGTAGTTGATGATAGGAATAAGATGTCATTATATATAGAAAGAATTTTAATATCATAATGTTTAATGATAAATTTTTCTACTTCTAAGAAGTATTTTTGATCATAGTCTTGTTGAATTTGTGTAATAGAGAATTTGGGTTGATTTTGGATATGAAAATAGAGAATTATATATTCTAGAATGTGTGAACTAGTAAAAGATGCAATGAATTTTTTCAAAGCTTGATCAAGTTTGAGGTCTGCAATACTGTTATTTGTAGTAGCAGTATTTAAATAAGTTTTGAGATATGAGTAGAGATAGAATGCAGTTCATTTTAGATTGGTTTCTGTATTGTTAATTTCAACAAACTTTTGGTCTACTTTAAGTACAAGTTCATTTAGTATATTAAGTAAGATAGTTTTTTTGGTTTTTTATTAAATTTAAAATATCATTTTTTGTTTCTTTAGTAATAATTTATTTTTTATTACTTTATCACTTAATTTTTCCAAATTTTTTTCAGATTCTAAAAAATTTAACAAATCTTCAAATTAATTATATTGTTTATTTATTAATTGTTTTAATTTTTCATTTTTTGGTTTTTTTAAATTTTCTTTATCATTTTGTAATAAATTAGAATTAGTAATTGTTTGATGTAAATTATTATTATCAAATAATTTTTCTGCATCTGATAAATTAATTTTTTTGATTTTTTTTTTGTTATTAAAAGAAATAGTTTCAAATTCATTACATCAATAGGTTTGAGATTTTCAATTTTGTCTAATTGATTATTTTTTAATTTTTCTTTTTGTAATTTAGATAAAAATAAATTATCAATTATAAATTTCAATTTATTTAATTCATCTATATCTTTTGTAGTATTTATTATATTATCTAATTCATTATATTGTTTTTTTTTAATTTATCTAATTGTTCTTTTCTTAATTTTTGTAATATTAAAATATTATTTTCATGTAAGTTTGAATTAATAATTTTATAATAAATAACATTATTATTAGTTAATTTTGATATATTAGATAAATTAATATTTTCTATTCTTTTTTAAGTTTATTAAAATTATCAGAAGTTTTAAATATTTCTAAATCTAGCTTTTCTGAAATTTTTTCTTTACCTAATATTTTTAATTATCTTTTGTCATATTCTTTTTTAGCATTATTTGATATATTTGTTTTATTCTATTAATAATTGAATAAGACCATCATTATTAATATAATTTTTATATATTTCTCTTTCTGAATTTAGATTTTGTAAAAATATACTAGAAGAATCTGGTGTAAAAAGTTGGTTTTGTTTTAAAGCTTTTAATAATGTTAATAAATCATCTAAATATTGATTTATATTTGTATTTTTTTCTAGTTTTACTAATTTATTTATATTTTCTAACTATTTATTTTTAATAATTTTTTTTTGTTTATCAGAAAATGGTTTTGAATTCCAGAAAAATGGTTTATAAATTCTACTTTTCTTTTTTATTTTTGTTATTAAGGTGACCTCTTTGGTTTTTTGACTTTTATTAATCACTTATCAGTATTGTGGTTCAATAAACCACTACAGAAGAGTGTACAATTGGCTACATGT